GCCTCCTTTTGAACCCGATCCATTCATCGGCAAAGATGAAGATGTTGGTTTTGCTTCCTCGACGGAGAACATTTCCTTTGTGGCTGGTTGTTCTCCGTACACTATTTTGACACATGTCGGTGTTGGGAATTTGAGGACCTGGTGTAGGGTCTAAGGTACAGCTCTCATGTTGTGGATCCACGGCCTTCCGAAAAGGGCGTTATATCTCGTATCGCCTTCGATCACATGAAACTTTGTTTCCTGAATTGTTCCGACGACGTTTATCGGTAGGGTTATCTCGCCTTTGGCATCCGTTTAAAACCAAAGTTGCAGATACGACCCGGTTTTGTAGGCCGAGCTATTTTACGACTTTCGATCTGATGATATTGGCCGAGCTACCTGGATCAATTAACACACACTTAATTTTAATTTTATTCATGAGTATGGATATTACCAGTGCATCGTTATGGGGTTGGATGATTCCCTCTGCATCATCATCATTGAACGATAAAGTCCCCGAGGGAGTGTAATCTTGAATTCGAGATCGCTTTTCCCTCACAATCGACGTTTTAGTGCGTTTGAGCATAGGTCCCTGAGGGGTATCGACGCCGCCGATGATCATGTGAATGATGTGTTGTGGTTCTTCTTCTTCGTTTTGCTTACCGAAGTCCTTGTTTTTAAAATGGTTCTTCGCCCTATCACTCAAAAATTCCCTAAGGTGCCCTTTGTTGAACAAGCGGGCTACTTCCTCTCTTAATTGTCTGCATTCTTCCGTTTTGTGACCATGGGTGCCATGATACTCGCATATTTGATTGGGATTCCTTTGGGCCGGATCGGTCTGCATGGGTCGAGGCCATCTGGTATCTTTGATGCGTCCGATAGCCGATACGATGACGGATGCATCGATGTTGAAGTTATATTCCGATAATCGAGGAACTTTTATAGGATCATCATATTTATCAAAGCCTCTCTTGCTCATAAGTCCCCAGGAATTTTGCCCCCGATCATACCTGCGGTTATTCCTAACTGTCTCATGTGCCGAACCGTGGTTCACCCGATCTGTGACGTACGGCTGGTATCGGTCTCTGTTTGATCTCTGTTGGTTTCCTTTAGAATTTTAGTGGTTGCGCGGTTATGACGCGTGGGTTCATACGGAAATCCCAATTGATCATCTTCGACCCTGATTTTCGATTGATACCGATTGTGTATATCCACTCAAGTTATTGCAGGGTATTCGATCAAGCTTTGTTTCAGCCGATGTGATGCTGTCGAACTCAGTCCGTTCAACCCTTGGGTGAAAGCTTGTACGGCCCAGTCGTCTGTGACTGGTGGCAAATCCATGCGTTCCATTTGAAACCGGGATACGAATTCCCTAAGTATTTCGTCACCCCTTTGTTTTACTTTGAATAGATCCGATTTTCTCGTTGCGACCTTTATGGCACCAGCATGTGCTTTTACGAACGAATTTGCTAACATGGAAAAAGAATCAATAGAATTTGGTGGCAAGTTGTGATACCAGATCATTGCACCTTTTGCGAGGGTTTCTCTGAACTTTTTCAATAATACGGACTCGATCTCATCGTCTTCCAAATCGTTGCCTTTGATGGCATATGTATAGGAGGTGAGATGTTCGTTAGGATCGGTCGTACCGTTATATTTGGAAATTACGTACATACGGAACTTTTTTGGGATCGGTTTCGGGGTCGCGCTCGATGGAAAAGGCTTTTGTATGAATTTCTTCGAATCCAGCCCTTTCATCATGGGCGGAGCCCCCGGGATGATCGATCCTAGCATCATATGTTTCGAATTTTTTGTCGTTGTCTTTGACTCGTTTTGTGAGTTCCTCAAGCAATTTAGCAATTTCAGGAGCGGTTCCTGATTCTCGCTCGTTCGATTTCACTGTGTCGGGCTCCGTTCTGGGGGTTACTTCTCGAAGAAGTGGATTGGAGTTTGGATTACTTTGCATATGAGTTTGGCTCTGCAACTGAGCTATCGCTACTTGTTAGGCTTGTAGCATTTCGAAAATCATACGCAAGCTGATCCCGATTTTCCCCGTGCTATGGGTGTCTCGAGCTATGGGTCGAGCGCCACTCGAACGCTTCTTTCCTGCTCGGAACGCTGATTCGCTTCTAGAGCTATTCGTGAATTGATATCTACTGGTACTTCGGCTCGAATTTCGGGTTCCTCGATTCGAGCCTCGTTGCCGTTGTTGGGTAGCCTTTCGGCCACGGGCACCAAGTTGTTGGTTTCATCTTGAAGGCCGGCTTCGAGGTCGATTGGCAGAGCCATTGTTGGTATGAAGTTGTAAGCTGGAGTGTACTGTATATTTGTATCAAATAATCCCTTGTTATCCTTAGCCCCACGGTGGGCGCCAAACTGTTTACCCGAAAAATCGGATAACGTTGAATTTATGTATGGTTCTAAGGGTAAGTAGATTCTTTTGATCTGAAGATAACAATACACGTATTTATGGTACAAAATAGAAAATGATGAACAAAGATACTTAGTGAGCTTTAAAAAGATAAACACAATGAATTCTTAATCCCAGGGAAGATGTCTTCTATTATAATCTATCTTGCCTTTTATAGCCAAGGATCACTACTTTATCTATAGCAACATAATGGAATAATATTACTAGTGAAGGACCCATGATGGTGTGTCTCCTCCTTAATTCCCGCCAAGATTCTCTCCTTTGGTGCGGTTGTAACAGCTTTTTATCTGTGAGCTCGATACCGACTCGAGCTCGGTGTCGGATCGGAACCTCGGCCTTGGTTTCGAGCTTGGTGATCACTTTCGGGCATCGATCTTCGGGACCTGTATCGGTCGATGTTACCTCGGTCGATTCGGACGCCCCGAGCTCGACGCCCCCATCTCGGAATTCGTTCGGGTTCTCCATGAAGATACCCCTTGACTGAAATGCCATCCTCGATCGATCTTCATGATCGAGGATCGGTTTTAACCGTATACAGTAATAGAAACAACAAAAAAGAAACGAATTAAATTTTCTTTAGCTCATTTTAAGTATTAAGTATTAACCTACAACCTAGACGTATTACCATAGAGACATTAGACTACAGGTCGAGAGTCCACTGGTTGGGAACCTGTCAAATCTGGTCGGTGGATTTACGACTCTGAAACCCCTGACTCAAAGGAAAAAATCCCGCAATTTTTAAAAGAAAGGCTAGGTTTGACTCTGTTAGATCATTTTTCTAGTTTATAGATTCGTACTCAGGCAAATCACAAGCCAATTGACCAGAGTTTTGATTGAGAAATGAATGATATAAGGAGTCCGGAACAAAAATATTACTCCATAAATTTTTATTCAAAAGACAAAAATAGGTGAAAAAAGTGTTGAACACCATATTATGTATAATGCATCTAAAACATGCGCGGTACATTAACAGTCAGTTATCCCGTTAAGGTATAACGCATGTAATATATATGCTATACTCAATATTTACAGCTATAATAATTGACTACATAGCACATCAATTATATGCGCTATGTATAAACGTACCCTCAACCCCTATCTTCAAAATCTTTTTCTTCATCTTCCCAAGAAATTTCAAGTATCTTTCTTTTCTTTTAAATACCCACAAACCACATTGCTTTTTCTTTACACTTCCATTCTTGATTCTTCTCTTCTTTCTTGCATGTTCTTCTGCATTCTATTATTATTATTATTATTATTATTATTATTATTATTATTATTATTATTATTATTATTATTATTATTATTATTATTATTATTATTATTATCATCATCCTTTGTCAAGTGAAGAAAAAAGAAAAGAATGGATTTTTGTGCATCTTCTTCAACAGTTTCGTATGAGGAACCCCATGTTTTAACTGTGGATGACAATCTTGTTGATCGTAAATTTGTCGAGAGATTACTAAAGTGCGGGCTTAATTTTTTTTTTTTAATGAGTCAAGCACGTGAAAATTCTTTTTGATATTGAATGGTGGTGGTACTGAACTCAGTACCTCACTCTACTCTGATAGTATATTGAAGTGTGTGACTTAAGATGTTAGAAATAAGCACACTTTTATTTACTTAATTATATTTTCAACATCATAATGAGTTGATATTTCGTATTTTTCAATTTGATTATCTTATTCTCTATCTATATAAAAATTCTTGAGTGTTTCTCAAGTTGCATTATTAAAATTAAATTCCTCCATCCAAATACACCCGTCTAAATTCAGTGTATTGAAATGAGTGCAAAAGTACTACTGTTAGCAGTTTTTTTAACTTTACATATGTTAAGTTAGCATTATTATCACATAATAGTAGTAGGTGCAATGTAATTCAAGAACCACTGATTTAAGTTCTGGATCTTCTCAGGACATTATTCTCCCCCTCTAATTCCGATGGAACGGCAGTTAAAGAAAAATAACAAGAAAAGATTATTTTGGGGTTGGGGGTTTTGGGGGAAGATAAACGTGTATGAAAAGTAAAATGACACCATCTTATTAAAGTCAACCTTTTAAATATGCCAACCTTTTATGAATACGCGATCACACATATTTTTCTGAATCCTTTGATGTGGACTTTTAGACTCAAACTTATGTCATTCTCATTACAATACAAGAAAATAGAAGCTCTTTGTACATAGCCCATATAATTGATGCGTTATGCAGTGAATTATTATGGCTGCAAATACTGTGTATAGTATATATATTACATGTGCTATACCTTAACGGGGTAACTGACTGTTAAGGCATAGCGCATGTTTTAGATGCGTTATACATAATATGGTCAACAACATTTTTTTCCACCTATTTTTGTCTCTCTGAGTCAATTTATAATATTTTAGTTCCGGACTCTGATATCGCTCCAGTGAAATTTATGTGTTGATTCAAAAGGGCACAGAAGAAAGGTGCTCTTATTTAAACAGTATCAGATTTCTCCAGGGTAAGAGGTTTAGTGCGTGAAAGGTAAACTTATGAGACGGTATCGAAGAACAGACAACAGTACCTGCCGTTTAATTAACACTACAGCAATATACAAGCTCAAAGCATGAGGGAAATACCAAATCTGCCATATAAGGAACACAATATTACGCCAATCCTCACAATTTAGCAATTTGACAACGTTTACAGACAATATAAAAGGAGGGGGAAAAAGAATTGGAAAAAATGAATCCCTATTGCTATTTTGGCAATTTACAAAAACCTTGACTGATATATAAGCGACAGAATTCTCTATATATACACACATCAGTTGAAGAGGTAAAAAAAACAGCCTACATAATTAACAAGACTGAAAGACTGAGCACTCTATCCTGCGATGCTATCTAGTTGAACTTACCTTTGGTAGTAAGTCGGGTGTTCGCGCTATAGGCCCCTGCAAAATAGTCTTTTCCTGCATACTAATACTCGCATGAGAACAGCAGCACGGAAAGTTTAGACCACAATAAGCTGGTACTTCACCGATAAGAATTCCTGGGTACAAGTCAAGTACCAACTTTTTTCTTTTGTATAACCTTTTTCCCAAAATGTAACCCCTCCCCCCACACCCCAACCCCAGAGAACTCCCTATCCAGGATCCCAATAATGGCCCTTTTTCGCTTTATTCCCTTGGAGACTCACACTGCCAACTTATGGTTGGAGGTGCAGGGTCTTTATCACTAGGCTATCCTTTCATCATCAAGTCAAGTTACCAACTTTAGAGCTTATATAAGTGGATCTCAAAGAAAAATCAAAGGAGAAACCACTGCAGACAACAATTCATGCAACAAATAGTTCTTTGCTCTGCCATTAACCCATGACTTGTTCACGGCCTTAAGAGATCATTGAGCATCACAAGTTTTACGGCACCATCTCCACCACATGTAAGAAAACCATGAGAAACAATTTGAATATCTGTAACAGCTGCCTGAAAACGCAGGAAAAAAAAATCCCTTTAGTTTTGCAAGCTCAGGATCTCAGTGATTTTTCTTCCAACTATTCACACATCTGATAAAAAACGTTACCTGTACCACACCACCAAAACCACGGGAGCTTGGCTGCAAGAAGGTGTGTCTTTCATGCAATTTTGGCCAATGAAATACTAGTTTCGCATTTTTGGCATCCCAAAGTTTTACATCTCCATCTTTACTTCCCGTCAAGAAAAAGCTGGTATGTGGTATGGTAGATATTTTGGTAACACTCCCTGCACGAGATAAAGTAGAATTAGAGAAAGATCTCATTATGTATTGCCAATCAACTATGTACAGCGTTTTCAGCCATGTTCCAGTACCTGTGTGAGCCTTCGGAATATACCAGAGCATCCCATTACGATTCTGATCACCGGTTTTCTTCTGCATGTCAACCATGGAGTTGACACCATGATCACCAATTTCTGTATGCTTCTGCCTTTTTGTCTTTCCAGTAGCTATGTACCGGAAATCATGAAGTCCAACATCACCACCTTTCCCACCCGTCACAATGAGAGGGGAAACAGAACCACTTCCTATATCATTATCAAACACTGCAAGAGAGCGCGCACCTCCTGAAAACAAGCACAGGTCAATAATCTTAGCAAGTTAAAAGCTTATAACGGCTGATGAACTAAACAGAGACCATTATCCAAGTTTTGCTAAGGTTCTGAAGAAAAGCACTACATGTAGACTTTAAGTGGCTTGTACATATTTTCTTGCCAAAAAAGATGGTCATTGAGAATCCGCCCTTTAGCTCTTGACAAATGAAATATCCATGTCTCTCAATCCTTCGAATCCACCAATAATCCATATACATGTAGAATTTTCTTCTCATGAAGGTCACACATTTTCCTAGACACGAGCTTTATCTTTTTGCTATCGAGTAGAATTCTTCTACGTGAGGGTTCTCTTATAGATTAGGTTCATTTTATTGCCAATATCTAGGGCGTTTAATCTTAAATTAAATGTTCTACCTTATGCTTTAGATCTGGGTCTTCGCTAAACTCTCTTTACTTGCTTTTCTAGTTTATTTGTTATTCCTATCCTTGTTCCTATCATTTTGATACTGACATTTAAGAATAATTGAAATATCTTAGTTCTGCATTTCGTCTTTTTGCTAGAATTAATATTAGGAACTGCCATTCCTTCACAAGAAGGAAAAAATGTCATCAGAAAGAACCTTCGTGACACATTATGGAGGCCCGAGATGTTGCTGGTGGAGCAAGTGTGTCCCATATGACAACGTTAACACCACTGGAGCTATACCCTGCGGCAGCTATGATTGAACCACTTGACGTAACATATGTGACATCCCTGCAGCCATTACAAGGCACAGCAGGCTTTATAAGAAAGCAAAAGATGGAAACTATAACAAAAACTTAACCACTGTATAGCAAGGAACAGGAGAAACAGAAAAAAGGAAGATAAGTGTAACTGCTTCATCTTTCAAATCACTCCGACAGTGTTACTAGTTGGAAGTTGGAACTGATATTCATGGTGCCCTTGCTGTTACAAATGACACAATGAAAGAGCAAGGGCAATTAAAGAAAAAATGGAAACAATTTCAAACACTTCCAGCCCCCCGTCACCCTCCAAAGACAGCATAGGGCCTTCTGGGGGTTACAGGGTGGTGTTAGGTACTGGAAAGGCACCAAAAAAATAAGAAAGCTTTTCCTTTAATAATATATCAGTTCAGCTTCGAGACAATTTTGAGGAGATACTAATACTCAGTTTCGGTGTATTATAATACCTAAACAGGAAGTTCAAACAATTTTCACTGCTTATGGTGTATGGTAATTAAGAAAAAGAGAAGGCTAAGGCCGCCGAATGTTATTAAGTAGCAATGAGGCACTAAAGTTCAAAGAGAGGATATCCAAAAATCTAACTTTTCAGCATGGATACAATTTTGTGGAGATACTAACGCTCAGTTCCACCTAACATAAAGTTAACACGATTTGAGTGCTTACGATGTATAATTATTAAAGCAAAGAGAGGATTCTGTTGGCCGAACGTTACTCCTGCCTCCAACTTCAAGCTGCCACGTACACACAGTACCATCTGAAGCAGCAGACACAAATCTGTGACCACAATGATCAAACTTCACGGCAGATACAGAAGCAAGAGCATATGGTGGAGGGACATTTGCAGCAGGAAGTACTCCATATGTCGCGGTAGCTCTATCTTTGCCAAACTGCAGATATCATAATTTATTCTAAATACCATATCTTAAGAAACCACAATAACACAAGTATGTGACGAATAAACAAGTTTTCAATCTCATGTAAGAACTACGAAGTTTTTAGCTCATACTTACTAATTTGCAAGTACAGAAAATATGCAACATTCCTTTTAGGTGTCAAACTTGTTCAAGATGCAAATTAGCCCTTACTGTTGCAACTGCAAAAAGATCTAACTAATCTATTGATCGTAATATTTTACCTCCCATAAATATATGTGTGTATTGCTCGAGCCAACCAAGAAAAAAGGCCTTGAAGGGTGAGTTGAGAATGCCCTTGTCCTAACATTTTCTACTGTGGCAGGAGGGTCAAGAAATTCATCAAAATCCTCTTGAACTCCCCAGCCGAGACTGGATCCAGCCGTATTGGCATAACCTGGAAGCCCAAATGTAGGTCTTGCCAGAAACCCTGCGCCAACAGTTGCTCCACCTAACCCGAGGTGTGTGCCCTTTTTACTCCCCAGACCCACTCCAGGAGAGACGCAAGTAGGAATTGGTGTAGATTCGAATCCCGCCCATCCATTATGTGGCCAATCAGCTTCTGCCCAGACATTATCAGATCTGTTCGCACAAGGAAGTCCATCTTCCCAATTGAAGAATAATAAGCCCTGAATCAGATAGAAGTAGATTGAGTGATCAGGAAAGATGTCATTGACTTTACAAATATAGAAGACTACTGGGAAATTAAATGTGAAACAAATAAAATACAGACCATATTTACTTTATGGCCAACTGTAATGCGCAGAGTCTAAAGACCAGAATAGGAATTTACTGTGAATGTCTAACAGGCAAAATACTTCCCGAGTAATAAGACACTATCAGAAGGCAGCCAACTGACATTTATTCATCAATAAATCTCTCAATACTTTCCACTTACTAGCCCTATTTAACAACTATGCGCATTGAAATGATGAAGTTGCAAAAGATCAGAGTTCATGGAAAGCGTGAAGCATCAGATACAAATTTCTCCTATTGAAGTGACAGTTGAGATATATTTGAGACACCCTAGAATTTGTACCGCTGATATTCCCACAGCATATAACAAGTTGGATACAGCAAACATGAAAGATACCACGTCACTCATCTTTAGATTCACTTATGCTTATCTCATATCATAAGTAGACCTCTCAAAGTTCATAACAACCATGAAGTACCATGCTCTCAAAGTTTCACAAACATGCCAGCCAAATCAGTTTAACATCTCGATTTACCTCACCCCAAACATTTCAACTTATCCCAGTTTACTCATGCATTCAAGTCATTCTTTTAAGTATGAAACTTAGAGCTGGATGTTAATAATTGTAAAGTGACATTATCCCTAAAGCCACAAGTTTATTTCATGTTACGACCAAAATGATGTATCAGATGCATCCGAAACACTGGGAAAACGTCAAATTCAGATGCATACAATATAGACCGTTAAATAAGCCCCAAAGCACAGTCTCACCTTCCGATTGCTAGCAAGAGCAGCTTCATGTTGATCAATGGAGTTGATGCACAAAGTCTGCTCAAATACAGGAGAATTGCATTCATTAGCTTCAAGAAAGAACTATTTGCCATTAAATGTACCTGTTATCCCTAAGAAATATAAAGTGCAATTCAATACAAAAGGTTTAGGAGAAGAATTACCTCCAAAAGTTCTCCACTTCTCTTATATATCTCTATCGGACTACGAAAAGGCAAAACCTTCTTTGTATGGTTCGTATCTTTTCCCCCAGAACTTTGGAAAGGATGATTATTTGGTGACAAACAAGCAAGAGGAGATCCAGCTGCACTTCTTGGACTACCAAACCTATCTTCTCTGTCATAAGTTTCCTCAACTTCACACTCTCTTACAATGCTGGGGTACATTTCATTCCATCCTTTGAAGGACTTTAGCAAAGTATGCTGTAAAAATTTCTGGTCTTGAAGCACAAATCCCTGATTAGCTTTCTTAAGCTCAGAACAAATATCCCATAATGCCTCAAATGCTGATAATTCATCTTCACCAGTCAACTTATCCAGATCGTTATTTCTATGACAAAGTTTAGCATCTGGCGCTTTATGTTGGGACGGATAATCTTCAGACCAGAAAAGAGCAGTTGCACCTGGATCCCTCTCCAGCAGGACGGATGCAAACTGATTCACACAGTAAGAAGAGATGTGAGTACATATGATCTTTATTAACTTCGCCAGAAGTTCTGGAACCATCCCGTTGTGGGTTGAGACATCGCTGCCATTTACACAATTTAATGAAGTGGATACACTGGAATGTCTGCCTGGAGGTAGAAACAAACCGCTTTCCTCATGTTTCCGAGATAGCACATTTAGCTTGTGTTTTAAAAAACTAGATACATATCCCCAAAAAGAAGCAACCATGACATGCCATCTCTCTTCCGGAACAGACAACATAACATCCCCAAATTGTGCCTGTGACATTTGATTCTTGTTCCGAACAGAAGATCCAGCATCATGAATAGGTAAATCATGAGCCACCATTTCTCGAGTCTCACAAAGCAGTTTTTGTATATCCTTTATGCCTGTCTCGTCTGAAGTTCTTGCCATCAAGAGAGGCTTCACAATCCGGAGAAGAACACTGTAATTTCTTTGTACCAAAGCAGATGCAAACAGTAACAAATACTCTGATAAATCAAGGACAGTGAAATGTGTCCCCACAAAATTTTCTGCAGAAGAAACTGAAGAAAACTGCATCGTGGCTCTAAGACACCATAATGACCAAGACAACCTCCTTTTATACAGCTCTAAAACGGCGTGATAAATATTTTCATCAGCTCCATTACTCCTAAGGGCGAATGACTTCAAACAGAAACAGTCCATGCTACACATAATGATGTATTTTGCAGAAATATAAAATAATTCTCCAGATAGTTCAAGAAATAGCTTGGGAAGGAAAGCATACAATGAGCAACCCTCAAGTTCATGGCCTTGCTCCATCGACAGATATTTATTTATGTAGTCTTGCAACAAGTAGCATCCTGTATACGCCAAACCACAGTTGCAAAATGACAAAAAAATCTGAAAGAGGAAAAAAGAAAAACCTGACAATCAGTCCCTGGAAAACAAAAGCCATAAACCTAATATTTATTCCATAAATAAGTAGAGATACCAAGTACATAAGATGTAGAGGAATTAAGGAGAACTTCAGTTGAAAGGATGCAATTGTCGTCATCAATTCATCTTGAAAAGCTCCAACTGAAAGCTTGTATTCTTCATTCTCTGATAAAGTATCCATGTGTCCCTGAAGACAAGTCATATCATGGTTTACCCAGCTTGGATGTCTCCTTAACATCTTTGACAAGTATTGCATAGACAAGTCTGATCTCATGTGTGATTCTATCCGTAAAGCCACATCCAATGATAGCCAGTTTGATGAAGTTTCATTAAGCATTGCACTCAGCATTTCATGCTGGTATCCAGAGTCCACATTATCAGGCACACTTCCTCCAGTTGAACCACCAATGATGCTCACAGAAGATGCAAGGCATTCCAAAGCATCAAGCTTACATAGAAAATGCGATAAAAGATAGGAAAACTCTTAGTCATTCGACGAAAAAAATCTAATTAAGAACATACAATAGTACATCCATACACACGAACAGGCTGGCTGAGAGGGTCCCCTGGCATTCGATGACATTAAGGTATACCTCCTAAACTGACTTATAGAAGAAAGGGTATGATATAACTCGACGTGTCTTACTTTGATGCTAAACAGTCACATGACTCGCATCAGTTGCAAGATAGCAGCACTTATAATGCAAACACTAATCAGCAAAAAAAGCTCAGCCATAGTGGTAGGCCATCCTACCATCAGCTCTGATGTGGTTTTTGGGAACTTAATCTGCTTTAGTAGGATTTAGGTTGATCATTTACCAAAATTTAGTTTGACATAAAAGTCATTTTTCTTTGAGATCAGCCTTGATTTCAAAACGGAAAAGGGTCAAAACTGTCCTTAAAGTATCGGATTTGGTACAAAAATGTCCTCCGTCCATCTATTTGAATAAAAATACCCCTGTCGTTATTTTTCAGGCTCAACCTTACCCCTATTTCTGACGGCTCTTTCTTTTAAATAAAAAAAAGTTTATTTATTATCCACATGTTAGCACTTTAATGGCCTAACTTAAACCCCATCCCAGATACACAAACCCACCTGCCCCATTAATGACCCGCCCCAATTTTTTTTTAACAAACTCGTCTTCTGCGTAAATTTCAGCCGCCACCTTCGGCTCCGGCGATATTACCGGCAGAACCTCCTATTTTGTATTTTTCTTTCAATTTTGCTTGTCTTCGCTCTCCCGTTATGTCACCGACACACACAATTACATGCATTATCTTCCCAAATTAATTCTTATTGGAATCAGAAGAATCAGAGAAAAGTAGAATCGGCAAAGAAGAACAATGGATTCTCCTCTTCAAGGGTTAAAAAATCTCCATTATTAATAGTTCCAGTCATACAGATAGCCCATACCGGCAAAACAATCATCACATATAAGACATTATTAAGACTCACTGCATTGAATTTTTGACTCTCATTGAAGCTTTCTTACATAGAAAAATCTTCTTCAATTAACAACCACAATAGAGGCTAGGGGCATAACACATCACTTCTTGTTTGAAGAATTTGTTGCATAAGTCCGCAAAATTGAAGTAAAAGAGTTATTTTGGATTAAAATTGAAGTAAAATTTGTTGCATCACTTCATGTTCATCTTCTTCAGAGAAAGGGAGACAAGAATAGCGCAAGACAAGTTTAACTGTTTAGCCCTTTCTTAGGCGGGTGGGTCAAAATCAAGTTATGGGTGGGTTTTTTAAAAAGAAAATGGGAAGGGCTTAATTTTGGGCCAATCATTTTACGCCACGTAATAAATAAATATTCAATTATTTTATTTTCAGGGACTGTTAGTTTTAAGGTCAAACTTGAGCCAAAAAGAAAACGTTAGGGACATTTTTATTCATATAGGTGGACGGAGGGCATTTTTGTACCAAATCCGATACTTCAAGGGTAGTTTGGGCCCTTTTCCGATTTCAAAAGCATAATCTAAATTGAGTTTATCCAAGTAGTACTTGACATGCAAAAGACGTTCTAGACTGGGGTTGCGCTAGAGAATCACTTTATACATATCTAATATGTTCTTTTTAGTTCTATAAATATCTAATATGTTAACACATGAATGCTGCAAGCTATGTATTGACTTGAAAAAGAGAACTAATCTAGATCAATGATTTTCCAAAACTTAAATTACATTAAAAAGGACCTCAGCCGAATTTTGTTGTACGAATCTGCTTTACAATAAAATAATTTCCAAGTGTTTGAGAGGACATGAAGTTGGTGGAATGTGACAGTTAAAGTATGAGGTTAGGCCATTGGGTGGTGTTTTCTGATAATTCTGTATCGCGAAGAGAAAAATAATGCTTACATATTGGTAAAAACAAGTTATATGGAGTAGTAGTGGAAAGAGTTATAATGGAAAATAAATTTCAACCTCCAATGATGTAAGTCATTTAATTCATTTGGTGTAAATTAATAGGTTCAGGTGACCAAATAGCAATGATTTCATCAAGAAAAATATTTCACCTAGACCTAAACAAGTAAGTTGTGTTCTAATCAAAGTTAGATCAGTTCTGGTCCTTCTGGATTTCAGATCTCAAAGAGGATCATATCAACTTTACAATCTCGGA